AACTCTTCGACTATTCTTAATATTTCATCTCTGTTCGTTGTTTCTTCTCCAGTTCTGTTTCTCAGTTTGTTAATTTCTATTTTCCCCTTTTGTACGCTCCTCTTCAAAACTTTCATGTTCTTATTTTTCTCTATTGCCTGTTTTGTTTTTTCTACATTGTAGTTTCTTATGTCTTTTCTTATTGCCTTTGTGATCGTCTTATTTATTTGATTTACCGCTTCTTTGCTTGCAGTGTTATCTCCTTTCATTTGTCGCCTTAGTTCTATAAGGGTTTTCGTGGGTTGACTCAGTTTTTCACATTTTTTGCTTGTCGGACAATATTTAGTTTGAGCCTGTTGCATTGTGTTGACTATTTGTTTGTTCAATATATTGATGTCAGCTGTTGTTGTATCTTTCAATGAATTCCCAATATATTTTTCGAACTCCTGAATGTTAGTTGGTTACGCAACACTCCACGAGTCCGCAATACTCGTCGATAAATCCACATCTCAAAGGCCTTCAATTTTTTCATTAATGTCTCTGTAAGGGTCCAGCTCTCCATAGCATACAGCAGTGTGTTGCAAGACACCTATAAGTTTGTCATGTTTTACTGGGTCAAAGACCTTTTTGAAGTCGATAAAACACATATATACCGATTGTTCGATATCCCTACATCTTTAACGCAGGAACTGGAAACTGAAAAGTTCTTCTCTTAAAATTTCCAAGGTTGTTTCTGAAACCAAATTGTGTTTCACTTAGTTGTACTTCTATTTTGTTGTAAATTTTCGAGTGCAGTATTCTTATGAAAATTTCAGTACTCATCAGACACATAGTGCGATGATCGCTACACTGTTTGGCATTTATTTTTTTCGGTATCATTACAAATGTTGACAGTAGCCACTCTGTTGGTATATGTCCTGGTTCGTATATTTTATTGAAGAGGTTTAGAAGAGAATGTTCAGTCTTATCGTCGAGTAGTTTGATTATTTCGCTTGGAATTTCATCTGGACTGGTTGCTTTCCTATCCTTTGATAGCTTTATAGTTCGTTTCATTTTATCGAGTGTTATGTTTGGACCAGTCCATATATTTTCAATTAATTACTATTTAAATGGACACAAGCCACAATTCAAGGTTAAAGTATGTTTATTGACGTTTCAATTTCTACTTTTAAAATTGTTTTCAAAATACAAACATTAGTAAATTCAAAATTTCAACTTGAATTTCTGTTCTATCGTCATCAAATAGCTCCTCAATATATTATTTACACCTCTCGAATCGGTCTTGTTCATGTTCATTGACTATAATATTTCCTTGTTTATCAAGTAAACTACTTGCAATTGATCTATATGTTCCAGTTATTTCTTTCAACTTTTTGTACATATTAAACGTGCCATTATTTTTTGCAGTTCTTTTATTTTAAGACATTTGTTGTTGTACCATTTTTCTGCTGCCTCTCGGATTTTACTTCTGATCTCTTTATGGATTTTATTGTATTTTTCAGTGCTTTTATTTTTCTGTTTTCGTCTGCTTTCCATTAGTTCCAATATTTCATTAGTCATCTATTGTTGTTTGTGTTTAATAATAGTTTTATACTTTTTAGTTGTTTCTTTCATAATGGTTCTGACATGATTCCAGTGGTCTTTGACGTTATGTGTTTCTTTCGAGTTTTCGAACTTCTTTTCTATGTCGTGTGTAATTTTATGACTATTATTTTGAATGCAGTCAGTGTTTATTCGGTTAGTCGGTTGTTGATGTTTTACATTATAAGTTTAAGTTTTATGTCACTAATTATTAAGTTATGATCTGAGGAGACATCGGCTCCAGGTAGTGTTTTATTTATTTTAATTGAATTTCGGTACCTTTCGCTAATTGTTATATAATCGATCTGATTTCTTATGATCTTCTTTTTAGTATCTGCGGAGGACTTCCAAGTATATAAACCACGCTTGGGTAGTTTGAAGAATGTATTTGTCACACATAGATTGTTCTCTACACAGAATTCTACAAAACGGTCTTCCCTGTCATTAGGTTGTCAAAGTCCATAATTCCATACAATGTTTTCAGGTTTACCTTTTCCTACTTTGGCATTGAAGTACCCATTATTTTTGTAATGTCTTTGTTTTTTAGCTGACTTATTACCTTCTTTATACTGCTGGCTATGGGCGTATAACCTTAAACCAGATTTATATCTACTAGTTTTGTGTTTAATTGCGTCACGATGACTCTATCCGAAATGTAACTACAGATTTAATACAGCAAGACACTTCTGTATGTATAATGTATGCGACGCCATATCTTACCGGGTTCGTAGAGACTTCTTACTTCTCCATGTGCCTATTCTGATATCTGGTTTTATTCTTTTTTATCAAAGCTCAACAGCAACGTCAAATAGTGTTTTATTCCCCTCTTGAGTGAAATATGTTTAATGGCACTTCATTGTTGACTTTTCTATACTTTCAGGTATACTTTCCACGGTTTTCTAATTCTCCTTTTAAGAAAAAACCATTGCTTTGAGCACGCTTTGCCAGCGTAGCACTTGCCCTTATCAAGTCAGGTACTTGCTATTCTTCTTCACTGTTCTTTTTAGGATAAGGGTAAGGATACTTTATTTGGACTAGGATAGAACATAATGTCCCCGTTTACGATCCTTTGATACCACTAATTCAAGGCAAACCTGAAGAGATTTTCCTCTTCAGGTTTGCCTTGAATTAGTGGTATCAAAGTTTTTTTTTTATTAACACCTGCGCGGTGTTTGTATACTGCTATCTGGTCACAAATGACCAATTATCAGTTATTTTCTGACCTAACATAATAACAGCAAATACTTAAATCTAAGGGCTTACCCTATGGCTTACTCTTATTTTATCTATTAACTAATGCACTACAACTAGCATGCAATAACTTCACAGCACTATACTCTGCTTTTTACACTAAACTGTTACACATTTACACTAGCTCTAATGGTTTTGTCCTTATGAGTCTTCTCTTTAGTTCAGTGTTGTCAAGAAGCTGGATTGCCTCGACATTCACATGACTATGCAGCCTCTGCTCGTGACTTGCTGCTGTTCTTTTGATTATTTCGATCACAGTTTCCATACCCAGGTCCTGGTGGAGGTTGCTGTTACGGATATACCAAGGAGCATCAACAATTTTTCTCAGTACTTTATTTTGAAATCTCTGGATAATAAGTAGATTACTAGCTTTGTACAGCCTCAGAGTTTTTCCAATCAGTCAATACAATTTCTTATATCTAATATCAAGCTCCCTCTTTTTCTATCTATCTATCTAATATCAAGCTCCCCTCCCAATCAAAATTGATACCACTTGATCAAAAACCTGAAGAGGTTTGCCTTGAATTTAGTTGGTTAGCATAGTACAGGGCAAAATGACACCGAAAAGACACTAGGGCAAGTTGTCGTTGACGTGTGTTGTGGAGCATCTTAGAGGCTGTTGAGATAGAGTCGCCAAGTCGAATCAGAGATGAGGGGTTCTGACTGGATGACGTATTGTTTCCACAGTGTAGTGTTTGTGTTTTAAGACCTAGATGTAACAAGGACCGAGTCTCTAGTTATTATTGTTCCTGCAAGCCGTTTTTACGTCTACATCCAACTTCATAACTAGTGTATTCTGTGATAATTTGCGATAACAGCTAAGCCTCGTCAGCTTTCGAGAGGAAGTTTTGCCACAAATATCTATTACAGTAACCACTTTGATCTGCTGCTCAAAGTGGTTACTTAAATAGTAGATCTACGCACGCTTTTCTTGACCGATACTTGGCAGCGTTTTTTATAATTGACCCTGTATATGTATAGGTAAGTTAGGTTCTACTCGTCGGAATTGTTGCTTGATTTATTTTTGTATTCTTCTTTATCATCATGGTATTGAAAGCCTTTAAGCATCATGTTTTTGATCATCATTTGACTCGTGTTATGCAAGAGATATGGCGTATAGTCTCTCCTTTCTATGACATTTTGAAGCTCTCCTTTAACATAGATTTTTCGATTGGTATGTCCTATGTAAGATGTATTACTGTCCCCTCATGAACTCCTTCCGGCTCGAGGAGATAAGAATACGGCCGGGCCAGACTACCCTGCCTGTCATAAGAGGCGACTTATGAGCGAATATAAGAGGTGGAGAGCCGTCGTTTGAGGTGTCGGGTTGGTAGAAACGCACAGAGATGCTTAGTCATCTCAGTCACCGGTCTACATTCCTGGTATCCGAGATGATCGTCTCGTGGGACCACTCTACTCTCATTTTCCACAAGAGCCAGGTGAGATTGAACGGGCCGGGTACGTAAATACCACCCAAAGCCGACACCGCGGAGGGTGGTGTGGTTTGACTCGGCACGTACCCACCTTGGAATGATTTACGAGTGGTAGAGGAGTGATTTCCTCGGCGGCGACCCTTCTACGTGCGAGGTGGTATTCCACCACCTGCGTGCCTTTCCGCCTCCGGGGGGGGGGGGTACTCACGGAAAGGTAGCTTGACCCACAACACAGGTACTACGGGGGAGGTGGAGCCCCACGATGTCGGACTCGTAGGGGCATAGGGGCAAGTGGTATGCGCTGGGGGTCGTATGCCGAGAAGCCAGGAAGACCAGGGCCTACCAATTCATTTTGGAGGGAACAAAGCTATGCAATGTCCCTCATGAAATCTAGTATACTCCTTAATATTCTATCGATATTTTTGCTTTTGCGAAGGATAAAATGGTTGAGATTTTTCTGTTAAATATCGTTTCTATTTTGTTATTTCTTAGCACTCTTCCTACTTTTTCTGTTGTACTCTTTATATATGATAGGATGGTTTTTTACAATGGGTTTTTTGTCTTCTATTGGGTCCTTAAGTACTGACGGTCTGCTTTTTCCTTTTTAGTTTTAGTATGCTTTCTTGGTATTTTTAAGTTCTTTCTTAAACAATAAGTTTCTTTTCAAGGATTTGTCAGTTATTACAATTTATTAAACATTAATTTGATATTTTGGTAGCATTATATTAGTTAAAGAAAGAAATTTTTATATTTCAGGTTTGATACCATGTGAAACTGATGAAGATTGTCCTCAATTACAAAATTCTACATGTGATAAAAGTTTCGGAGTTTGTCAATGCAATGGTACTAGAATGTGTAATATTAAAAAAACTAAAGTTGTAACAAAAATTGGCGGAGAGTGTCAAAGTACGGAAGATTGCAACATAGACTCAGCTGAATGTATAAATTCGAAATGTGATTGCAAAAAGGAATATGTGAAGTCCACTGACGGCAAAAAGTGTTTATTGGGTAAGACAATTTATATTGTTCTGAAGCTATTTTGCTATATATTGCTATATATTGAGATATGGGTTTTCGATATTAATATATTGAGCCACCAGCCATCGATAAAAGTTATATTTGAAAAAGGTTGTTTACTTATATACTATATGATATATATATATATATATATATATATATATTATATATATATATATATATATATATATATATATATATCTATAACGGTGCTTTGAGGTTAATTGGGATCGGTGAAATAAGTGTAACTAAGTGTCAAGCTTTCGAAAATGTTTATTTTCATCATCAGGAAAAAGTGAAATTAAGTGCGACTGTTAGTAACGCATCCTCAAAAAAAATTTTATTAAAAAATGTAGAGGTTGTTTTTTAACTTAAGTTATTGAGATTTGTCTTTCGTGGATGTTCTACTCACAGGTGGCAATTTTACGCACCACTCATTGAGTCAAATATTAAAAAATATATGGTGTAAAAAAATAAAATTGACAAATTATTATATACACTGACACATAAGGAAAAGACAATTAAAAACAGGTTAAAAGCCAAGTGTGCCGACCAACTGTGAATTGTGATTAAGAGTAAATGTCATTTCTGGACATTGCAAATGACACCACTTCTTTTTTTAATATTTTTTCTTATTCTTATTAAGTATTACTTATAATAGGATACACATCAAAATTTACCAGAAAGTTAAAAAACCAAAATTTTATAACTACGAAAAAATTTTTAGTATACAAAATTTATGTTCTTTTTATCCTTAGATATATATATATATATATATATATATATATATATATTATATATATATATATATACATACATACATATATACATATATATACTTACTTACTTACTCCGTGGCGTTATAACCCTTCGTGGGTTTTAGCCGACTCGACAACATGCCTCCACTGTTTTCTGTCTTGAGCAGCCTCCATCCAATTCTCCACGCTCATAGTGCTTAGGTCTCCTGCTATATTATCTCGCCACCGGAGACAAGGGCGTCCGCGTGGTCTCCTTCCAGTTGGGACTTCCTCCCACACCACCGTCTTACTGTTCGTTCGTCAGAATGTCTTCTGAGGTGTCCTGCCCATTGGAGTCTTCTGGACTTTATTTCTTTTATGATGTTGGCGTCTGGGTAAAGTTCTTCAAGCTCTTTATTAGTTCTTATCCTATATTGTCCTGATGCTTCATCAAGCACCGGACCAAAGATCTTCCTTAGGATTTTTCTTTCCCAAACACGTAGTCTCTCTTCATTTGCCTTTGTTATCGTCCACGTTTCGCTTCCATACATCACAACGGGTCGTATGATTGTTTTTGATATATATATATATATATATATTTATATATATATATATATATATATATCAAAAACATATATATATATATATATATATATATATATTATATATATATAAATTGCTATGATGTTTTGTTTGTGTGGGAGCAATGAATAATTTAAAATAACATATATAAGTATAGGGTTTTTATCGCGGTTCTCAAAGAATTAGTTCGTAAGTACTGTTTAAAGTTTAAATTATCTGTCTTATAACTATTATGAAACACACATATATATCCAATATAGACAATATAAATTTAGAACAACCTATCTTAAATTTGAAATTTTGAAAATTCTTATAATAATTAAATTATATTAACAAAATTTGGTACCTTTCTATCACTGAATGCCTAAATGAAACTGTTTTCCAATATAAAGGTTCAATCACTACTCAATATCTTCTTATCAGCCTCGGTTATCCTTGTTTTTGTCAAATTACTTTTTCCAAATATATTATAATGTGTTAATTATCAGCTTCCAAAATTTAAATATTTTTCTTATTAACAGCATTTAGAAATGGACAAAATATTCTTCTTGATACTCTTCAATTACATATAGATATTATAATTTTAAATCCTTCTAATCTCCATATAATATACTTTCAAATACACTGTATACTATCTGCTTGTACTATATAATTATTACTTTAATACTGACCACTGTATATTATCTGCTTGTACTATTTATTGACTGACTAACTTCTTAATAAATTCACTAATTAACTGTGGAACTATCTCCTGTTTATCTTCTTAATTAACTAACTCCATATTGTAACTGTACTAACTTTACTAACTTCATGAATCAACTGTAACTGACTTAATAATCAATGACTGTGTTAATGTCTGAATGAATGCTTGCTCCAAATTACGACGTATTTATATATTTTCACTGTTCCAGAATCTTCTAGCAATAAACCATGTTCAAAACTCTTCATCTCATCAATATATGAAAGTTCTGGAATAATCGATTATGCAAATAGGGTTAACTGCCGTCTTTATTGACGTTTCTAGAGAATTCTTAATTTTTCTTTGGAGAATTTATGGACATCTAGGCCCCCAGATCAGAATACACAATTATGTATAAACTAAACATCCTAAATTAATACATAATACTATTTTACATCAAATTATATTTAAATTAAACATCTTAAATTAATAAATAACCCCACTTCACATCTGCAACCATCCAAATGTCAATTATTTAGTGTATATTTGGTTGCCTATGTACATGGCTCATTTAAATATATTTATTAATAAATAAAATAAAATAAAACTTTTTAAACTTATTCTTATGATAAATTCTTAAAATACCCTCATATAATTATTTTTTTATATAATATTTGCTGGTCTATAACTTACAAATTATTTCTTTAATCATTATTTAAGTTTATTAATTAAAAACTCATTATGCTAATTTCTTAAACATCTATTATTATCTCAATATATATATATATATATATATATATATATATATAAACTCGTATAAATGAACTTAGTAAACTCTTAAATATTGGGGAAATCTGCAAGAAAAACTCTAATGTGTATCAATTGTTTCGCCGAACGTTTTCGCCAAAGAGAATTAATTTGGCTTCTTCAGGGCTGAAAGAGAATAAATTATAATTAGCTACCATATATTATCTAATAAAAAACATTTATCTTACCGTAAATTTTAGAAATGTCGAGTTAGGATGTTAAAAAACTTAGCTAGTAACAACATAGTGGTGTTTTTTGTTACTATGTGCAAAAAAGTTTTTTGTTAACGTTGGAAATGTATGGTAGCTTTGAACTTAAAACGCAAAGGTTTACCCAAGGTTAATCGAAAAAACCCAATGTAACTACATTTAAAGGAAGTAATTCTTTGAATTGTCGGCAATAACTAAATTTTTGATTGTTATAAAGTTTGAATGTGAGGTTCTGTTTTCTTAGAACGCAAGCGCTGACAATTACAAGTAGTGATTTTGAATATTTATGTCGTTAAGGTTCATTGGTAAAACTGATGAAGTTAGATCCCAGTTTGGGGAGATATTATTTTAGAATTTTCTTAATTGAAATTCTTTTTTAATTAGTATGTTGTTCATGTATTATCATAATAATATCTTATTGAGATGTATCTAAGAAAAGCAAGGGAATATTATCTTTTTTAGTTAATGAAAATTATTATTAAAGTAGGTTAGTTGTTAATAGATATAATAGATATAATCACAGATAACTAACTTGACTGATATATGGATAGATATGATATATATATATATATATATATATTATATATATATATATATATATATTATATATATATATATATATTCTTTGGAGGATAACTTTCGGGAAAGCGTCAAAACAAGGATCAGCTAGAGATGGTATAAGCCAGTTTGGTGTAGAACTTTATTCTAAATGTGAAATTTTCGGTGATATGTTGTCACCTTCATCAGCACCTAAATGGAAAACCTATTTTAGTACAAGTGGTGGAAGTTAACATATAAAACCTACATTGAAAATGTTCAGTTGGTCCTAGAGTTGAAGAACACTGTCACAAACATGTTAAAAATATTAAAAAATTACATTTAAAATTTTGAATAAACTAATTTTTAATATTTTAATTTTTAATATTTTTAACATGTTTGTGACAGTGTTCTTCAACTCTAGGACCAACTGAACATTTTCAATGTAGGTTTTATATGTTAACTTCCACCACTTGTACTAAAATAGGTTTTCCATTTAGGTGCTGATGAAGGTGACAACATATCACCGAAAATTTCACATTTAGAATAAAGTTCTACACCAAACTGGCTTATACCATCTCTAGCTGATCCTTGTTTTGACGCTTTCCCGAAAGTTATCCTCCAAAGAATTGTATTCTTAGCGTCGTTATACAAACTCTATTTATATATATATATATATATATATATATATATATAATATATATATATATATTATATATATATCAAATCAAAATGAGATTGTATTATTATAAGAGTACTAAGTTTTTTCACAACACTGGTAAATGCGACTGGTTCAATTAATTTTCAAAGCACGTATGTACCTCGTCTATCTAGCTATGGAAAGCTCGAAACAATATGGATAATAAAGGCATAATTTATAAAAGAGTCAGCCGACGAATAATTACATACGCGGCAGAAACACGACTAGAATGCTAGAAACAGCAGAGATAAAAACCTTTAGAAAAATCGATGGTAAGACATTATGAGTTAGAGCTAGAAGTGCAGATATACGACGGATATACAAGGTAGACAACATTAATAACTGAATAAAAAATAGATAGAATAGAACGACTACATAAACTGAACGACAATAAATAGTGTAGTAAGGACGGCTAGAGACGGTTACCCAATAGGAAGACGATCAGTGTGAAAACTACGAGAACAATGAAATAACTGGAGGAACATTGAAAAAACAGACAGTCAAGTCTACAAAACAGAAGAAGATATGTACCTCATAATTTTGCAAATCATCTTACTCCATTGATACTGCAGAACTGTCTGAATCATTTGATCCTAAATGTATCATCACAGGCTCAATAACATTATCCACAATGGCGTCCAGCCTCCACTTATAGGCTTCTCCTTTAATAACATGACTTATCGCATTCTTCCAATCAGTTGAATGTATATTGTTCAAACTAGCTTGCAGGAGGCGCTGGA